CAAAGAAAAATTTCCTTCTGTAGATAAACCTTTCCTTAAATTTTACAATAATGGACTAATACAATATTTGGAAAGATGTTATTTGGATTCTATTCTAGATTGGCTTTAGTTATCTAAGATCTCTAAGACCACTCTCTTAGAGCAGACCATGGTGTGAAAAGCCTGGAGTCCTATCCCTGCTCAGACTAGACCAGTATTTAGAGCAGGAAGGCAGAATAGCTATTTGCCCAGGAATATTTGCTGAAGTCTTTCAAGCTTTTAACCTATTTGTGTATGACTCCATGTTTGTGTTTTTCAAAGAGAGAATTACTCTTTTCAGCTTCTTTGCCTTTGCTGCCATCATCTGGCAGTTTAGAGCTATGACTTTAAGACTATAATCCACAGTATGCTCTCTCTCATAATAACATTTTCATAATAATCTGAATTAAGCCTGCGTGACCTCAAATAAAATGGTATTTCTACTAATATGATCTTATTATGAGGCTGTAAACTATATACAGATGCATGCAGTAAACATAGAACAAAGCTTAGAGCAAATTTGAAACTTCTTCTAGTCAGTGAATTCAAGTATTGATTTTTATAGTAGTTTTTTTTTTTTATAAAATTTCAAACTTAAAAGTTACAAGAATAGTACAAAGAACTCCTGTATACCCTTTACTCAGGTTCCCCAGGTATTTTCATTTTGCCCTATTTCGTTTCTTCTCTTTCTCTCTCTCACACACATACAAACACGTACTTTTCCTGAATTATTTTAGAATAGATTCCTGATATCAAGCCCTTTTACCCCAAAAGGTGTTCAGTGTGTGCTTCCTAAGAACAAAGACATTATCTTAAATAACCACAGTGTAATTATGAAAATCAAGAAATTAATGTTGATAGAATACTGTCATCTATAATCCATGTTCTGATTTCCTCCCTTGTTTCAGTAATGTCCTTTGTAGCTATTTTTTTCTCTTGTCCAGAATTTTTTTTCTTTTTATTGTGATTTGGGTCAAGATTTACAGAGCAAATTCACTTTCCATACAGCAGTTCACATAT